CTTACTTACTTAGTATTTGTTGTATATGCGATACAAGATATATAATATATATATATATATATATATATATATATATATGAAATCGCAGTGATGCAAATAACGCTGGCCTAAACCCAAGCCAAGTATTTTGCCGTCATACAGATCTCAACGACAGGTCGCCTAGATGTGCATGTGCCCCATTCACAGCAGCGCCTCAGATATGCACAAAACGTTTCATAACACAATTCATGCTGTTAACGCCTACCCATGGTACACAAACACAACTCAATAGCCAGGATGCACTGTGAATGTACGATGGTTTACGTACAAACGCATTAGATGCGCGCCCCTGTGCTTTTTACACATATACGCGATACGTTGTAGACACGCTCTCACGCTCAGCACACATGCTCACTCACTCACTCTCTCACTCACTCGCACTCATACACACACGTATATATATATACATATATATACTAACATACACCATAGGTTGGTGAAACACGAGGTATTATGCTGCAAGAGGAAGAGGAAACGGTAGAATATGTCGATGAGGATGGCAACCCCGTCAACATGGCTGACTACCAAGGGGTATGTGTACGTACCCTGCCATCGCTACAAGTGAAGGGTGCTTGCATTTGGATATGACTGTCATGAGTCTGTGCTTATCTCTGTGTCCGTGTGTATCTAGTTAACTAGTACGTACACATGTTCGGATATAGGTGGTTGTGCTTTTGCTCTATTTACGGGAGAGTTATCTGTTGAGGGTAGCTTTCCCGACGTTTTTACAATCTAGACTATTATGGAATAGACTTTTTTGGGAATAGAACCATTGAGTTTTGTATATATGCCATTCCATATTAGATATATGATGGCTTTTAGATACATGATATATATAGATATATGCATGTATGTAGATATTAGATGGTATTTAGATACATGATATATATATAGATATGGGCATACGTCGAAACCTTTAGAAGTGTTGCGTGCATCTCAAGGTACAGTATGATGTTGAATTATACAATGAGCGAAAATGGTTGTGCACGAAGGCGCGATCGGCAATCTAATATTAGTGTACTCTTTCATCACGCCTATATATATATATATGTGTGTGTGTGTGTATGTATATGGGTATGTGTATGTATATGTATATGTATATGTATGTATGTGTATGTATGTGTATGTATGTATGTATATATGTATGTATACATGCATGCATGTATATATAAGAATATATGTA